AACGTTTAACGTCTATTGTATAACTAATACAATAACAAGCCTTGTTCATATTTTAGAAAGGTTCTTTTGGTATGAAATGCAAAAGTATAGAGTGCGATTTCTCGAAAATAGAATAGACGTTTTAAATAATGTTAAGAGTAACATACCAATTAAGGACAAATTTCTGACAGATATATACCTGGTACAATAACAAGCCATGTGCCTATTTCAAAAGTAGTCACTAAATCTACTCTTCACTGCAATCTACTGTTTTCAATACACCTCATAAAAAAAAATTAACAAAATATCGTCTTTTATGATAAAAAAATTAGAATTTAATATGCCTAGTAGTTGACCATAAACAAAATTAAGTATGTCCGATATCGATTGACTCCTTTATAATATAATCATTATTATCAGTTTCTATCACATATACCATATTACAGTGAACTATGTTCTTAAGATGTTTTTGCACTCCTTCATTTTATTGTCCCTTATGGACTGCAAATATATAATAGTCTATTGTAATAGACTATAATAAATATGTAATAGCACTCATTTAGAAAGCTGTTAAGGAGTTAAAAAAATTATTAATCTTATCTTTTAGATGGAGAGTGTTTTTAAAAAGAAATATTTTTGGTCAGACCATCAATTGACAATTACATGCAACAGTAAAATTGGTCCTTTATCGAAATACTGTCCTCTCAGTCATTCGTTCATTTGCTGGCTTTAACAGCAAATAACTTATCCATTCGTTAATTTCAAGGGCTATTTTTGGAGCAAAAAGCAATATTTGTTTTGAAAATATTTCAAAAAGATTGAAAGTTGTTTCATAAAACCCATAGCAACTTGTGAACTTATAGTGGAAATATCATCTAGTTCTAATACATACCCTATAAAGGACAGTACTTTAGAGCAACCAAAGGATTTCTTTTACAAGAGTTGCTCTTAATATTTTAGATTAAAAGTCTTTTCTATAACTATTTGTTTTATTAAACTATTACTATTGTGGAGCAAGGAAATCCTTTTTTTTCAAGCGATTATATTAATCTATAATGGCGGAAAATATTTTCTTTCCAAGGAAATTGTTATTACCATATATCAAACCATTAAGATTTCTCCCTACTTATGACATATACATAAGTTGAGAAAATTCTTTACTTATGATAGTTCTAGTACATACCCTATAAAGGACGGTACTTTAGAGCAAGCAAAGGATTTCTTTTACAGGAGCTGTTCTTATTATTATAGTTTAAAAGTAAAAGTATAATCTATAATGATGGAAAATATTTTTTTTTTTCAAGGAATATGTTATTATATCAAACCATAAAGATTTTTTCCTACTTATGACACATACATTTTTTTTTTTTTCAAAAGATGGGTTGGGAAGTAGCTACCGCGTCACTTCATCCTCGAGGATTATTGTGACATACCCACTTCAATTCCATAGACGAGTAGCAGTTAAGAATGCCAGTATGTCCTTTGGAGAGATGTTGCCTAATTCCGTTATAAGCGGATAGGCAATGGATGATACATACATAAGTTGGAAGCAATCTTTACTTATGACACCAATTGAAACCAGTCAGAAAAGTAGTTATAAATATTTTTTAATGGTCTATGAAATTATTTTAAAATTAATGAAATATAATAAAATTAAATATTTAATGATTTTCATTTTAAATTAATTTCAAAATTGTATTATTGAAGTATTTAATTAAATCAATCTTTATTATAACAATAAAATAATCTTTAAGTTAATCTATTATGTCTTGTTTTCAAGCCCTTACATATAATCCGCAAGGTAGTAGAAGAAGAGGAAAGCCTAAGATTACCTGGCGTAGATCAACACTAAACGAAATTAACAGTCAATCCATACACCTTGGCAGATCATACAGCAATATTGTTGAGTTCAGAGAAGTGGCCTATGCCTAATATAGAGTCAGCTTGGAATCATGTGAGTCCAAACAAGGCTTCATATAAATAAAATAATATTAAGTCTATACTATCAATATACAAATTGTATTAAATAACAATAAATAAATAAAATATTAATGAACTAATCGCCGAAACCAGAAAAAGAATTTCGTAAGAGTGTCTGGTGTACTCGTAATATTATACTTTTTTTTTACTCGTACGAGTACGCAATCTGCACATGTTTCGAAAGTAACTGAGAAGACTTGTTCGCTTTGTGTGTAACACGAGAACTCGTACGAGTGCATGACGAAGCAGAGAAATGTGGCACAAGGACTCTCAACCATTAACCAACCAACTTACTGACTAAATAACGAGTAAATCGCACGTTCTTTAAAGTTTCTGCCAATCGTACGAGTACCGAAGTCGGCAGCTCGTATGAAGTTGCATGTGAAGAAGTTTTGGGCACATGTTAAAGTGCAATAAACTCTGCAGCTCAGGCACTTCTACCGCATATAAAAAATGTTGCAATATTTTGCTTATTTCCGTGTAAAAATATACATTCTTTGTCGTTTTTAATAGGAAATAAATTAAAATTGTTTGTAGCAGAACCAAAGCAATTTTGTTGTAATTACTTTAATTATAAAAAAAAAAAATTAAGGTTCAAATTTCACTGCAACAACAGAAAGACAAATAAAAACTGTTTTCCGCAACTAACTTTGTGGCTTCTGGCAATTTTACGATAATAGCTTTTTGATTTCTTAGAATTATTTCATATATTTTATAGTAAACATGGATATATAAAAATCTACATATATCTAATTACAATTTCTTATATTTGTCTAAATGATATAATAAATAAGCGCACGGTAATGATAAAATTATCAATATTAATTGCTTATTAAAAATTAATTAGTAATCCTAACAGATTTAGTATTTAATTACTTTAAGTAACTGAATGGTGTGAACGATATAACATAAGAATAACATTTGTCAAACGTTGAACTTTAAAAAAATTAGACCTCACACTTAGTTTAGTCTCACCTTGAAATGTGTGAATCCCATAGGTCCACGATCCATTTCAAAATCATTGATGAAATTTTTACTCATCTTCTCAGTAAGACTCAAATGGAACTCTCAGGACTTCAATAGAAACCTTTAAAGTCTTTTTGCCTCAAATTAGAAATCTCCTAACAAGTTACTCTTGGTTTGGAGAGAATCGGACAGAAAATAAAAAAGATTTTCAATTCTTTCTTCTTCGTACAGTTGCTACGAAATTCTATACTGAGACACCAAATTTTATCGTTTGCAGAGCTATGAATTGGATGAACGTTAACAGATTTACACTACTTCTTGTAAAACTTAAAAGAGTTGTTGTTCTTTTGTGGTATATTTTGGTTAAGATTGCTAGTTATTTTTTAACTCTTGCAGATTTTTTGTCATTGTCTAGATAATTAAAAGAAGAAATCATAGTGCCTATATCAGTTAATATATCTGTATGCTAAAGGTTAGTGTCATGTCTGATTATCTTATTAGCACTTCAATTTTCTGTAATAAATTTAAGTGAGGCCTAAAGCCCAAATCAAATGGACTTTACCTGCTTCACTTTTCTCATTTAGAACAACACAAAGTCACTAATCTTAAAATCGCCCCTACACTTGTAAATGATTAACTTAGATACCAGCTTGGCTATTCATAAAAACACAGAAATGTCCACTCGCATCTTATTATCTTAACTGCCTGAAAACTTTGAAAACTCTTTAATCGCTGTTCTGTTAATGTGAAAGTGCTGAATTTTCCTCAACGTTAATATATTGTTGATAATGCTTTTAACTGCTACGTTTATGCCAAGGATGAGACGACTGAAAATCAGATGTACTTTTCCTCATTTTTCCTCCAATTTAGGGATTGAGTAGTTGTTTAACTGTTCTCAATCAAAAACCATATAGACTGATAGGTTCAAAGTCTTTAAGTTTTTGCTTAAGTAGTTAATGAAAGCTTAACGTTAAAAGTGTTTCGTAAATATATCCAATATTTGTAGTTTAATTGGGCCAAATTCTATGGGAGCTCAACACTGGTTCAGTAAATCCGCAAACGTATTACTTCATACATATGTATTAAGTACAATTCTGCAATAGTAATAAATTAACAAATAGTTAGGATTGTACCATTCATATCCAATGAAGGATGTTTAAAAAAAAAAAGATTAGGCTAAATTTAATTGACTTTAACTTTTTCAAAAAGTTGCAGTTTGATTGGGCCAAATACGAAGTGTATTCAAATTGACTTTTCCTAAATGGTATTCAAAAGAACCTAGTACTATAAAAAAAATCCAAATTCAATATAAATTGTAGTTGAATTGGGTTACAAATAAAAGATTTCAAAATTGTCTTCAAGTGATTTACTTTAATGATATTTAATGGGGAATTGTGTAGCGTTTATAAACTGACTTTAAGCTTAACGGCTTAAGCTTTAGAAGAACCTACTTTTAGAAGCACAATAATCCAAAATTTAGATAAGTTGCAACTGTTAAAAGAACAATAGTGCTTGCACAGAATATTTGGTATAAGATGCCCTAAAAAATAAGAAATGAAGACTTGTAGAGCCGTACACAGCAAAAAATCGTTCAAGTTCAGATTGGTCGACGCAAATAGCAATAGATAAGCCACACTCTCCAAAGACTTGCGAACCATATTGCAAGAACAGCACTCAGATGGAACCTCCAAGGTTCTAGAGGACCTGGCGCACCAGCACAAACATGGTGCAGAACTATGGACAGAGAACTTAATGTTGCAAATTATAACTGGAATGATATATGCCGCGAAACACCCAATAGAGTTAGGTTTAGATCTATAGCAGAGGCCCTATGCTCCACGGGGATAAAAGGACAACTGTAAGTTGTGATCCCAGATTTAGTTAGGATGCACCTCAATTGGACCATAAATAAATCAAATCAGTTTTTCCACTGACTTTAACCTTAACGGCTTTTTTTGAGAGCCTAACCTTATAAATATTTAATACATTATGCATGCACATGTATGTATGTGTGTATGTATATCGCAATGGTGGGAAAAAAAGGTATTAACATTGAGAAAATTTTGTCAACTTACCTGGCAGTAAAAGTTGAGTCTTTTTGTTGTTGTTAACGCTGGGCTGTGTTTACTGCAACGCGACTGCAGTGGGTGGTTTTGCTTAATTATTTTCGTTTTTTTTTTGTTTTTGTTTCGTTGTTACACTTCGCACTTCGCACTTCACTTTTCTATTTCGAATTAAATAAATGCGTGGCTTAAACAAATTTTTAATGTATGCGATTTTTTTTATTTATATATTTTTTTTTTATTATTTTTGTTTAATGCTTTGCTATGCTCTAATTGCTGTCGAAGTGATTTAAAAACCGAAAGCAAGTGAAATATGGCATAAAATTAGGTCTTTATGATTTCTGTAAGAAGGGAATAATTATACACTTGCCGCTTTAATATAACTTTAATATTGTAACAACATTAAAATACATACATATTTCACATTTTTTTATATTTTTTTATTATATCAAAGCAAACTTGCACTTATCTAATCTAAGTTTTGAAATTGCGCGTATTATTGGCACATATAAGCAAATACACAAATCACATACAACCATACAACCATACAAACCCATGATAAGCAGATATGGGTTATGGTGTGGACAAAAGCAGATAGGCGGGAGAAGGTGGATTTCGGGAATTACTAATATGCAACAAGTGAATTTCAAAGAAAATCGTAACAAAATACATTTACATAATAGTAAATAGAATATATACACAGATACTATTAAAAATTTTAATCGATAAATTAATTCATATGTATAAATGAATATATACATTTATATTTCATATTTAAAATCAATATTATAATTATATTAAATTTTTATTTTTTATATTTTATATTTATAAATATTTGTTTATTTTTAATTTTGTTTATTAACAAATTCACTTTTATTTTACGTTAATCATTAAATCTTATAAGACAACTTTGGCTAACTGGCGACAACGCCCCAAAAAATGCAAGAATAACTTTTCTTATTGGAATAACACAACACGTTAAGATATAACAAACAACAACAACTGCTACAACAACACAACAACACAGAAATATTAAGTTTAGCTCAAGTCAGATCAGCAAAAGCCCGATCAGCTTTCTTGTGTGTTTCTCAGAAAAAGGTAAGTACAACACACACACACACACACACACTCAGAGAAAAATAACAAATACAAACAAATACACATAAAATATTTTTTTTATTAAGAATTTTATAGATTTTTATTTATCACAATTAATTTATATTGTATTTAACACTAGCCAAGTTAAAAACTTAATACCAGCAGGTAACAAAAAAACCAAAAAAAAAAAATTACAGCACAGCACACAAAACCCGCAACAATAAGAAAAATATATGTATGTATAGCAAGCAATAATACCAACAATGCCGACTTTAGTTTCTCGGTTCGCAAACAAAATGAAAAATTCGTTACTTTAACATATTTTTTTCTGTTTCAAACATAAAAACAAAAATAAACGTCATGAAACCAACAACAAAGGCACGGCTAAAAAATCTTGTTAACACGCACACAGCAAGAGTGCAGCAGTTTTGTTTGTATTTGTGTTATATATTGAGTTTTGTTTATATTTTCATTACATTTTCGTAACAAATTTTGTTAAAATAAAAGTTTTCACATATATGTTTTTTTTAATTAAATATAGTAGTATTTATGAAATTTTAAATTATTAAATTATAATTATTTTTTATTATATTTTATCAACATATAATTTATTTTATTTATTCCCCGCTTAAAATTTGAACGTGTTTTATTAAATTTTAATTTGCTTACACAAACAAGAAAATGTCGTACTAACAACGACAACGCTTACTTTTAAACTAACTGACTGACTCACTTAACAATTCTCTTTTTGATTATTACACATTGGCAAGACGAAACGACCGAACGCACAAATCCGTCAGCCACTCACCAACAACCAAGCACATCAAAACAAAAATTGCTATAAGCAAAATAAAGCCAACAGCGCTGCGCTGTGAACGTCAATTTTCGAAATGTTAACAGCCCAACTTACGAGTATGTAAGAATGCGCTAGCAGTGCACACCACTCCGTGTGTACGCTTTCGTCGGCAGATCAGTCGGTAAATGAAGCCAGTGAATGAGTGAGGTAGTGGCACCCATAATATTTTTGCTTTTCTTACTCTTTTTGTTTTTGTTTTTGTATTAATTGAGCGGTTATTGTTAGAGTAACAATTAATTACACAAAGCACAATTTTAAATGCAGTAAATAATTGTGCAGTGTGTAATAAACAATGACTCAAAGTTATGAATGAAATAAAATGATTCTGTTAATAATTAATCAAATATATTTTAATATATTCTACTATTCAATATTATAGATAAAAAAAACGGTGCTGTTTAATAAGATAATGATTAATGAAACATGCATTTGACTTCTCCTTTACTTTTTAATATATATGTATATATGACTGGTCTTGGAACCAACAGTGAGAAATTTAATATTTGATACTCCAGGACATGCTGGCATCCAAGGCAATGAAATGGCAAACAAACTTGCAAGAATAGGTGCGGCTTCAATCATTCTGTGGTATAGGCAAAGGAACGCTATCCGTTCTTATGAACGGCGGAGATGAAAAAGGAAGAGAACTCTATAGAGAAAGGCTACCAAGACTATCACAATCTAAAATGCTTTTAGGGACTCACAACTTAAAACGCTTCAAAGATTGCATACCACAATCACAAAATAACCTAAGAATTATTGCGGATATTGACCGGTCACTGTAGATTGAATAATCATCTATCGAAATTAGGAATTCAATCCAAATCAAACTGCAGATACTGTAAAGAAAAGATAGAAACTTCACCATGTGCTTGTGTAGTGCCCGGCGCTGATACACAAGCAGAAGAAACACCTAAAAGGGTATTTCATGGATTATAAGGATCCAAGATTAGGAAAGATATGCTCATTAAAGAAATCGGACTTGGAGAAACGCTCTAATCCGACTAAGTGGCACAATAGATCTTTTATAGACTCAGGTAAGGTTATACTTACGATTCTAAGGATCCCCTTAGGCTAATTGTACCATTTTCTTACCTTACTTATATACTTGCTGCAATGGAATACAGCAAGTATATTTTATATATTCTGAAAGATAAAATGCCTTAAGGTTTTTAAAATAGTCATTACTTGCAGAAATGACACTCGAATTCGTTGAAAATTTTTTTCTAATAAAACATTTTTTCATATATCAAAGTAAATATAAATCAGATGCAGCCAAATTAGTAAAAAAGAAGGATGTAACAGCAGCTCATAACCCAATATAGACGATAGAATAAAGAGGATGACACAGATATAGTTTTAGTAATATTAATTTATTTAAATCGTGATCCTGATGATGACTCTCAAGGACAGTCAAAGTATAGAGTATAATAAAAAATATTAAATATTGATTTATTTATTAATTCGTTGAATTATATCGATATCGTGATAAAGCTTGTACAGCTCGTGGTTCATTCGTATGCAGTAATCGTTGCCAACTCGTAGAGGACCAAAAAGCTTAAGAAAAACTTTTCTCTCAAACATTCCCAGTGCTGCTTCATCATTCTGTAAAAGCGTCTATGCCTTTGCGACATACAAAAGCACAGAAAGGATGACCGACCTATAGAGCATTAGTTTCGTTTGTCGAAAGTGAGCTCTACATCCCAATTGCCTACTGCGCCCGTAATAGCACCTATTAGCAATGGTGATTCTTTGCCTGTTCTCCAGGTTGACATCATTGTTGTTCGTAACGGCGGTGCGAAGGTAGATAAAATCTTTGACAGATATGAAAGTATAGTCACCAGCCACTAGCTCACCGTCCGAGCGACGCTCATTTCTACCAGTAGCCGACATATACTTCGTTTTTTAAAACCATCTAAGCCACATAATAGCGCTATTATTGTTTTGGATTGGTCAAACTATTCAAGCATATTTACGCCACATCCAATCCAAAATTATTGTTTTGCTTTTGCCCTAAGTTTCTTGCTATAACAATTCAAAACCAAGAAAGCCATCTGAAACTTTATTATTGATTTACCTTTGCTCAATATAGTCAATCATAAATTTGTCATGTGCAATCCAAAACCACAATAGACATAACCTTTTCTACTTATTAAACTCTCTTAGCCTTTTTAAAAGCATGTCTATCAGTAGAAGTCTTCTATTTCGACTGCTCTTTCGTATTTGGAGTAAAATAATGTTCTCATCTATATCTCATCTGCAGGTATAAATCGAAACAGAATTGCTAAGGATTTGGCTGATATGTTTCTAAAAACATTAATTAGAAATATTTCAATGGATACATTTTTAATCTGTTAGGAGCGAATCCGGTATATAACTTTCGAACTTTATCATATGCAAATGCCTTTGATAAATCTTATGACTGCCTTCATTTAAAAATTATAAAAAAGCAACAACTCTATTCAATGATGATCTATCGTTGGATCATGGATCGTCTTCCGAAGTTATTACTTATTTTGGGCTTGCTAGAAATCCAGTGTCTTTAGTGCCAACACTATGAGACTGTGTAGACTATTTTCGAGTCGTTCTAAACGATGGTGCAGAGTCTCACTACTGCTTGTCCAACTAAATTTTGTTATAGAAGTTTAGGATTATTGATGCTTTTACGATTCTAATAAAACTGGGTAAAACACATATGAGTCATTCTATATGATGACGCAGAGATATTAGGTGCTCATACAATCACAGCGGGAAACTGGGTAAAACACATTTGAATCATTCTATATGATGATGCAGCATCTCCACGCTGTTTATGAAACTTACTTTATATTTAAGAAATGATTTCTTTTTATTTTTGCAAATTTGAACATTATTAAATAAAACACTGAACCTTATATAACGGACAAAAATTCTAATCTGAAGTTCTTAGAAATTGTCTGATTAGAACATAAATATCAAAAATATTTTAAAACCTTTTTAATATAGTTTTCAAAAAAGCCTCAGAAGATACTTGAAGTATAAAAAAAATTATTTCAGTGAGACATTTGGGCTAACTATACAAGATTTTGAAATTTAGCAGTATTTAAAGTTGGAAAAGTTGGCCCAACAACTTGAAAATATATTGAAATAGATGAGGAGAACAGTTTAAAGACTAAGGCAATTACTTAATGAGAATTAGGCACATCAAATAAAAGCTGTAGCTTTCACTAACGTCTATCTATACAAACAGTCCCTTAATATGCAGGCATGGAATATTGTTAATTTAATTAGATTAATAAATGACCCGCTATATATCTACATCAATTTACGATAATGATTAATAACCTAACCTAATAGACTCAAACTATCTATTCACCATCAAACATCCAAAATCAAAACAGTCTTAACCTTGAAAATCTCTTAAAAATAATAATGTTACGTACTGTAGTGTTATTTAGAATAGATATTGTTCTGGTTCTCACTTATTCAAAAAACTCTGGATCTATAAGGAATCTTTAATAGACTTGAAGGCTTTCCCTATTTGGTCAGCCATCACTTCCGCTCAGATGGAAAGAATCCGCCTGTTTGAGCGGAAACTTCTTCGCGATTGCACTAATTATAAGCGCAAGCCTAATGGCAAACACTTTTCCATATCAACTCTCTATAACAATGCCAAGATCACTCGTGTTGACGAGTATCTTCTGTCACTCGCCCGAAGGTATCTCACCCGGCTCCATGACCTTCCCCCCGACGTTTCCATTCCTTCCACTCTCTCAGAAGACTTTGTTCTAGCTTTGCGCTACAAACCCCCCCAATACCTGACTTACTACTTCGACGAAGTAGACCGTAACCTCTCCACTATCCCCTTATATAACCGCGGCTTTCGTAACCCCAGTCACAAAGTATATTGTTGATTCCATCCCCGCTAGTTAGCCGTAACCCCTCCCCCTTCTATATCATCCATCCTACCTAGTTTATGCCCTTGCTTTCTGACTTAGATGAATCTAGTTCACTAGGTATTAAGTCTATTTTCTCATTCCTCTTTCCCATGATTACTGGAATGAAGTTTCCACATTGCTGTGGAAATCTTCTTCATTCATTCCTAAGAGGTGGTTTTAGTGGGTTCAAGTCTTACACTGTGGCTTTCGATGCTTTCCACTACTGAATCACCAGCTATAATCATCTGAAGTGATATATATGTATATATGTTTTATTGTTACAATAATATGCAAAGAATAATAGAAAAATGTCAAAGAGTCATTTGTAGTGCCTGTATTACTTTTATATATATTTGAGCCATTAATAATAAAATTTTTTCTATTTTTAGAGACATCTGATATCATTGGTTTCTTCTATCAACCAAACTGGTATCCATGCAGAAGTATATCATTAATGTGCGGTTATTGTACTGAGAATGACCTATTACAGCTAACATATGTATTGTGTGTCCTAAAAGTCATTGTGTGAGCTTGCGTGATCATCAGTGGGTGATCCATTTTTGTTATTTGATCTGTTATTTGATATTTCTTCGAAGGCAGCTGATAAACAAATAGTAATGTAACACACAGATTTAACTATTATATGTTATCGCAATCTCATTGAGTTCACATAAAATAGTCCATTTTTTCTGAAAAATAGTCCAGTCCAAGTACAAATATTTTTTGTTAGATTTGGTTTATTATGAAAAGTTACATATCGGATGCATACAGAATATAGTCGATTGTTGTTTAGTTGCAATGTAATACGCATATGTCCATGTCTGATTACCGGTCACAATCACATCTTTTAATTCATCACCATTATATTCTTTAACCATTTTTTCGCATCAATCAGCCTAAGCTTCTTATTAAGCTTTTGTCAGATTATTTTTTGTTAGATAGGTTCTTACTATACAATACTTAGGGTTACCAATACTAAAAATATACATAACATAATGATACTGTTATCCTGATTGTTATTTTTAAGAACCGAATTGGTTAATGAATTACTAGAGTAATGAATAGAGTTATGACATAAATTGAGGGGTAAGATGTAATAAATTATATGAAAAATTTCACTTATAATAATTTACAGTTTTAGTCAAAATGATAAGTATTCGCATTGCCTAAACTTAAAGAC